TTTAGATACTGGGTCTTGCTATGTTGCCCAGGCTGGTCTCAAACACCTGTCCTCAAACGATCCTTCCACCTTGGCCTTCCAAAGCACCGGGATTACAGGCATGAGCCACTGTGCCTGGTTTATATAGCTTTCTTTATGTGATAAACATATAATTGTCTATTTCAGTTATTAAAAATATTTGAAGTGCATACCCTCAAGAGACTCCTCACCCCTCAATTAAGAACATTTAAATAGATATAAAGCTGTTAACAATAAAGATGTGCTCACTGGCATATTCCTAGCATATATTTTTCTTTGATTCTGCAAGTGTAGAGCACTGTATCTATTACAGATGCTTCTCAGCTTATGATAAGGTTATGTCCCAGTAAACCCATCGTAAGTTGAAAATGCATTTAATCTACCTAACCTATTAAACATCATAGGTTAGCCTATCTTAAATGTGCTCAGAACACCTACATTAGTCTACAGTTGGGCAAAATCATCTATCATAAAGCCTATCTTATAATAAAGTGTTGAATAGCTCATGAAATTTATTGAATTATAGATTCAATATTGAGTCATGTACTGAAAGTGAAAAACAAAATGGTGGTATGGGTATTTGAAGTGCAATTTCTACTGAATTCATATTGCTTTCTCACCATTGTAAAGTTGGAAAATTGTAAGTCAAGCCATCTTAAATCAGAGACTGTCTTATATTTAGAATGATTGGTTATGGTATTAACCGATACATTTACTTTCTCTACTGCGTGCCTATCATGCTCCAAGTACTCCCTCCTAGATTTGGCGGATTCAAAGAGAAAATACTACATAGTCCCTGTCTTTCAGAAGCTTAAACTTACTATACGAGGCAGATAGTATTGCCCTAGATTATAGGGTGACATCATGTGTGGTAGGATGCACAGAGTGTAGTGGAACTACAGAGAGGGTAAGATGAGAAATGGTGGCCAAGGAAACCTTAGCAGAGGAGGTGAATTGGAGGTAATGTAGTGATTAGATGGCAGGTTGTGGAATCTGATAGTCTTTATTTTAGATTCTTTTAAATTCCAGTTCTGCTGGAGAATTATATAATTTGCCACAAGTTAAATCACCTCCCTAAACTATATTTTTCTCATCTGTAAAATGAGGATAATATCTATCTAAGGTTATAAAGATTAAATAAGAAAATTTGAAGAGGTCGGTGGCTCACGTCTAATCCTAGCACTCTGGGATGCAGAGGTGGGAGGATCACTTGAGCTTAGAAGTTCAAGACTATCTTGGGCAAAAGGGAGATCCTGTCTCTACCAAAAAGAAAGTAAAGAGGGAGAGAAAAACCAGCCAGATGTGTGGCAGGTGCCTGTAGTCCCAACTACCTGGGAGGCTGATGCATAAGGATTGCTTGGAGCTCAGGAGTTGGAAGTTGCAGTGAGCTCTGGATGACGCCATTGTGTTCTACCCCGGGTGACAGAGTGAGACTGTCTCAGCAAAAACAAGGCAACTGAACACCCCTCTTCATAACCCCCTCTCCCCCCAAAAAAAAGAAAATGTGAAGAACTTAACAGTGTAGTGTCTGGAAGGTACATATAGGTGCTCATTAAATCACAGCTGTTGTTGATATTAATCTTGCTGTTTATTCCTGCTGCTGCTATGACTCTTTGAAGGATGAGTTGGTGTTGGCCAAACAAAGAAGGGACAGAAGAGAAATAGCTTTCTGTAGGGTAGAGTATATGGGAAGACATGGTGGCCACAGAATATCTGGGGAATAACAAAGATTCTATTGAGATTGACATACTACATAAACACTGAAGTTAGCTGTTATTTAGTTTGAGAAACATTGCATTGTTATTCTGTCTCATAGGGCTTGGGTAATAAACTTTAATCTGGCATTTAAAAATTTTATGTTGCTGTCTTTTATCTTTTAAACGTTTGTTGTATGCTCTTTAAAAGATTATCTGTTTTTAATTCCATGTTATTCCTTGTGGAATTCCTTCCTTTTGAAATATCTTGGTTCCTTTTGTAGGAACCTTATTTCTTCCTTATTTCTTTTCTACTCCCCTACTTCCTTTGAGGGCTTCCCTGAAAGTTTAGTTTTCAGTTCCCACTTCTGTAATCATTTCGGTTGGAGAGTTAGATGCTCTTGTGGCTTCCTCTTCATTTTTACGCAGATGACTTTGAAATATTTATCAGTAGCCCTGACTTCTTTCCGAGGTTTGTCTTAATCAGATCTTATCGATCTAAAATTTCTGCTTAATATATTCATCTACTGCTCCGCAATTCTTTTTTTTTTTTTTTTTAGCCTTCTGAAATAGAAGTGATCCTCCGCAATTCTGTTTCATTTATTTGATTTCAGAAAAAACTACAAGAGAATTGATCTGGATTTGACATATTTTCACTGTCAAGCTATGATAGTTGAAAAAATAATCAGATTCACCATGTACTATATTTCATCATTTCATACAGAAAAGGACATTTTCTTCCCCCCCACCAAGAATTCCAAGGACAAAGAAAAGGACAATTTAATATAAAAGTTTATAAAGTATTTTTTCACATTTGAATTATTTGCCAAGCTATGATAGTTGAAAAAACAATCAGATTTACCATGTACTATATATTTCATCATTTCATACAGAAAAGGACATTTTCTAACCCACCAAGAATTCCAAGGACAACCAAAAAAAAGGACATTTTAATATAAAAGTTTATGGAGTATTTTTTCACATTTGAATTAGTACGGCCATACTAATTAGGAAGACCATAATCTCACAACTTAAATATATGTAGCTTTAAGAGTAAGTACTTCATTATTTTTCACTTCTTGTTTTAGACTAGTGAAAACTTCATCACACAGTGAAACACTGCTTTAAAGTAAACCTTGTGCTATCTTGATATCTGTCTTCCTGAAGTTTGACTTTGATCATTTTTTTCAGTGCTTAAAATGGCTCACCACTGCCTTCCTAAAAAAGCCTTTTAATGTCTTAGACCTTTATTAGTTTGACTCCTGTTCTGCTTTCTAGTCTTCTCCTTCATTGCATTTCTGTTACCGACCTCCTTTTAAAATAGTTAGTGGTGGTATTTGTTGGATGGAGACTAATACAGGTTCAAATTTGGCTTTGTCATTAGCTGAGTGGTCTTGGGTAAGTTACTGTAATGAGAAAAAGCAGCTCTTAGCATCCTGGAGCTGCCCTGGTACTGCTATCAGTTAGGCATTGGTGTTGCTATGAGCTAGCCTGGCATTTAACAGCCAGATCGAGTAACTGAACATCAGCATGAGACAAGGCTGTTCTGTGACTTTGGTAGATCAAGACAGAAACAAGACCATGCCATGATCATATCTGAACACAGATGAAACATGTATGCTATCCAAACCCCAAATTATGAAACACCTTCTCCAGGCTAATATGAGTGATTGCTGTTGCTTTATAGCTTTAGCCTCCTTACAGTCTGCTCCCTTTTTTTTTTTTTTTTTTTTTTTTGTTGCAGCAAGTGGTATGTATACAGTCTGCTCCCTTATAGAGAAGATTTATTGTTATACCCAATCAAATAATTATCTCCACTTTCTGACAGTACCCAATCTGGAGTAAACCCCTGCTTCTTAAGGACTCTCTTTAAAAATCACCTAGTCAAATCCTGTTTCTATCTTCAGTTTCCCATGATGTTTGTTCCTAATAAACTCAACTTGTTCAACTATAGGTGTGCTCCAGGTACATGGGTGGAGGACATGGATAATAACTACTTTGAGCCATTGTTTTCTCATTTGAAAACTAGGGGTAATAACATTTTTTTGCAGAATTGTTAAGAATATTAAATAAGAAAAAGCACCCAGCAGGGTAGGGTCCTTGCATTTAGTAGATGCTTAACAAATACTTCTTTCTTATTCTCTAGTAAAGAATTCTGATTCAGTCATGATCCCCTGGACAGTTTTCAAAAAGTCCTTGTTTTAACTCTTTCTCACACATGGGGTGCTCTGTTCTCATCCTTCAAGACTTAATTCAAAATATCTTTTGTATGAAACTGTTATATCTTCTACTAATCTCTCCTGACTTTGAACTTAAGGTATTTATTGTTTTTTATTTTTATTTATTTAGAAACAGGTTCTTTTTTTTTTTTTTAAGCAAAGTCTCACTCTGTTGCCCAGGCTACAGTGCCCTGGTGTTAGCCTAGCTCACAGCAACCTCAAACTCCTGAGTTCAAGCGATTCTCCTGCCTTAGCCTCCCAAGTAGCTGGGACTACAGGCCCATGCCACCATGCCCAGCTAAGTTTTTCTATTTTTAGTAGCTGTGGGGTCTCGCTTTTGCTCAGGCTGGTCTCAAACTTCTGACCTCAAGCAATCTTCCCGCTTTGGCCTCCCAGAGTGCTAGGATCATAGGCATGAGCCACCTCGCCCAGCTAGAGACAGGTTCTTGTTCTGTTGCCCTGGCTAGGGTGCAGTGGTACAGTCATAGCTCACTACAGCCTCAAACTCCTGGGCTCAAGTGATCATCCTGCCTCAGCCTCCTTAGTATTATTTTTTGCCACTACAGGCATTTGCTCCCCCACCTGGCTAATTTTATTTTTGTTTATAATAGAGACAGGGTCTCACTGTTCTCTAGGCTGGCTAGGCCTCCCAAGGTGCTGTGCCCCACCAGTATTTGTTTTTACCATTGACTTTGTTATTAATTATATTGTAACTTGGGGCATCTTTGTAGTTATCTTTTGCTATTTAATACTTAATTTTTCACATACTTATGCCTTGTTAAACTAAGTTATTCTTTAAGAATGGTTTCCTCCCATTGTCACGGAGAAGAAAAAAAATGGGGGCTATGTTTAAAAAGGGCCTTGGAAATCAGCCAATTACTTTATGGGAGCTAATTTCTTCAAATTTGCCATCTTGAGTATCTTGTACTCAAAAAATGCTTAAACCTGATTAAAGTAACACAAAAGGAAAAATATATTATCAAATTTAACCTCTCCTAAATATGGTGGTATTGGGAAATTCACCTAAGCCAGATACTTGGCTCAGAGCTTTTTACATCTTCTTTCCTAGATAATACCATGATGGGCGAAGAGAAGATGTCTCTAAGAAACAGGCTGTCAAAGTCCAGTAAAAATCCTGAGGAAGATGAAGACTGGAAAAACCCTCCAGAAGAGTCCTTACAGATACATAGTAATGGTGAGGCTTTTAATTTGAGGTGAATTAAATTTAGTATACTAGATAAGGGATTGCCATCTCTTTAGTTCTGTCTTTACTATAAATGGGTATTAAAATTTTATATAGCTGGTAACAAAAATTAGAAAATAAGTCCTTATTAATTCAGTGAATGTCTGTTAGGTATCTGCTATGTTTTAGACACATTCATTCAACCGCTTAACCTACCAGTAATTATTGAGCTTAACCTACCAGTAATAATTATAGCCCTGCTGGGTGCTGGGGCTATAGCTGGATGCGTGGGATTATCGAATTCCACGTTGAGTCTATGGCAAAACCTCCAAAATTTTACATATTACAAATAGGTTTAATATCACATAATTAATTATTCTCATAATAGATATAATGAGTAAAATGCAATTAAGTAGCTGAGTTTGTAACCTGAGTACTGAGCTATAAATCTAGTGGGGGGGGAAGTTAGGGAGTTTTATTAGTTTTTATATCCAAGTTTCTTAATGCCTGACTGAAAAGAGTACAGTGCAGTCCTTGTTAAGGAAAAGGTTTATGGTTATGAATGATAGACTTGTAAACACAACACTAATTGATGTCATCTAATGCATCAGGGAATTTTTGCAGTGACATTTGCATAGGTTTGACTTCACAAGGATTTGAAATTTGACACTTGTTTGGTTAACAAATAAGGGTGGAACTTTCTGAGACATCTTAGGCATCTTGACTTTTTTCATAAACGTTTTGTTTTTCCTACTTAAACTTAGTGTAAATGTCAATAGCTGAATCCCACTAAGACTGTAAATATTGCTGCTCAAGTTGGCATAATGAAGTTTATTAATGTGTTCTTAATTAGCTGTATATGACATACTTATATTGCATATGGGTTAGTGTTAGTGTTATATAAAATGTGAAATTTATGCAAAGGAGGATGAGCCAACATTGGGGAGAAACATTCCCCTTCTATGAGTTAGGGACTTTATAACCCAGGTTGTCTCCTTTGTTTTCCCAGATATTAGAAGCTTCATGTTTGTTTGTTTTTCCCTTCCAGTTCTTAGAGACAGAAAAATTGTTTTAACTGAAATTTTCTGTCACCAGCTATTGCTCTCTTTACATCTCAGTTTTTAAAAGATTTTAAATTACTCTAATTTCTATGTATTTTCAGTACTCCTTATTGTCTTAGTTCACTAAGTTTTAATCACTGCAGGTTTTAGTGCTGATTTTTTTTTTTTTTGAGACAGAGTCTCTCTCTGTTGCCCAGGCTAGAGTGCTGTGGCGTCAGCAACCTCAATTTCCTGGGCTCAAGCAATCCTTCTGCCTTGGCCTCCTTAGTAGCTGGGACTACAGGCATGCACCACCATGCCTGGCTAATTTTTTCTATATATTTTTAGTTGGCCAATTAATTTCCTTCTATTTTTAGTAGAGTCGGGATCTTTCTCTTACTCAGAGCTGGTCTCGAACTCTTAATCTCCAGCAATCTTCCCGCCTCAGCCTCTCAGAGGGCTAGGATTATAGGTGTGAGCCACCTCGCCTGGCCAGTGCAGATGTTAAAAATTGAATGGTTTATGGCTGTGTGTGGTAGCTTACACCTATAATCCTAGCACTTTGGGAGGCCAAGGCAAGAGGATTGCTTCAGCCCAGGAACTTGAGACCAGCCTGGGCAACATGACAAGACCCTGTCTCTACAAAAAATAAAAATAAAAAAATAAAAAAAGCCAGGCATAGGTACATGGCCTGTACCTATGGTACCAGTTGTTCGGGAGGCTGAGGCAGGAGGATAGCTTGAACCCCCAGGAACTTGAGGTTGCATTGAGCTGTGATGATGCCACTGTGTTTCTAGCCCAGGCAACAGAGCAAGAACCTGTCTCAAAAAAATTTTTTTAATTGTTTGGCTTAAATGAAGAAGTATAACAACCTCCTTGGTTAAAATAAGTGATGCTGATCTGAAAATGTGTTTTACTTATTTTAGCATTGGTTCACTTTGGGGGAGCAAGTGGATGGGTAAAATGAGGCTTTTGAGCAACAAAGGCTTAAAGAATGCCAGGCCAGTAAGGTGTTGCCCACCAACCAGGACCACTTGGGGGGGCTTGTTAGAAATGTCCCACCTCACATTTTTTGCAATAACAATTGTATTTTAATAAGGTGCCTAGGTGATTCAGATGCAGGTTAAAGTTTGACACACAGCTCTTAATGTGGTAGTTCTCTCTCAACTGGGGCATGCGTGAAGTTTGTAAAAATCTTGTTGGATAATACTTTTGGTGATCAAAAACTATCCCTATCAAGAACTTTGATACTAGACTTAAAATTTAACTTGTATAATTCTTGGATTCTTATTGTGATTCATAATTATAGTAAGAGCTTATGTCCTAATTTGCCTAGTATGGTCCCACTTTTCACCTGTGTCCAGTTTAATTCTTTTTTTTTTTTTTTTTTTTTTGATAAAGCATCGCCCTGTTTTGCTGCCCAGAGTGGAGTGAGTGCCGTGGCGTCCTAGCTCACAGCAACCTCAAACTCCTGGGCTCAAGCGATCCTACTGCCTCAGCCTCCCGAATAGCTGGGACTACAGGCATGTGCCACCATGCCTGGCTAATTTTTTCTATATATATTAGTTGGCCAATTAATTTCCTTCTATTTATAGTAGAGACGGGGTCTCGCTCTTGCTCAGAGTGGTTTCAAACTTCTGACCTTGAGCAATCTGCCCGCCTCGCAGAGAGCTAGGATTACAGGTGTGAGCCACTGCGCCCGGCCAGTTTAATTCTTTTTTTTTTTTTTTTTTTTTTTTGAGACAGAGTCTCGCTTTGTTGCCCGGGCTAGAGTGAGTGCCGTGGCGTCAGCCTTAGCTCACAGCAACCTCAAACTCCTGGGCTCAGTGATCCTTCTGCCTCAGCCTCCGAGGTAGCTGGGACTACAGGCATGCGCCACACATGCCGGCTAATTTTTTTATATATATATATCAGTTGCCAATTAATTTCTTCTATTTATAGTAGAGACGGGTTCTCGCTCAGATGTTTGAACTCTGACCTTGAGCAATCCGCCCGCCTCGGCCTCCAAAGCTAGATTAAGGCGGACCACCAGCGCCCGGCCCAATTTAATTCTTTATAGTGCTTCCTTTCATTCTAAGAAGTGTCTCAGTTTGAGTAAATTATACGGTCACCCAACCTTTGGGTTATTGAATTGTGACTGCCATAGTAATTTGCACAGTATTTAGTTCACATTTTCACAAAAGTGTCTCTTCATCCAATGCCTACTAGCTGAAATTATGATTCATTAGCTTTCTTATATTTTGTGGCATTTATTTGAAATATTACCAGTTCTGAAGATAACAAATTTTTGCCCAAATTGAAAATGTTATTTGATTTTAAAAGTAGCCGGGCATGGTGGCTCAGGCCTGTAATCCTAGCACTCTGGGAGGTTGAGGCGGGCGGATTGCTGGAGGTCAAGGAGTTCCGAAACCAGCCCTAGCGAGACCCTGTCTCTACTAAAAATAGAAAGAAATTAATTGACCAAGTAAAAATATATATACAAAAAGTGAGCTGAGCATGGTGGCGCATGCCTGTAGTCCCAGCTATTCGGGAGGCTGAGGAAGTAGAATCACTTGAGCCCAGGAGTTTGAGGTTGCTGGTGAGCTATGCTGATGCCACGGCACTCACTCTAGGCTGGGCAACAAAGTGAGACTCTGTCTCTGAATGAATGAATGAATGAATGAATGAATGAATGAATGAATACATGCATGCATGCATGCATGCTCACCAACAGTTTTTATTGTGGTATGATGTCCATAAAGCATTTGATTAATTCAATATATGCAGAAAAGGATAAAAGTAAAAAAGACTCCAATTCTATCATTGAGTAATGAATATAAGTCTTCTAGAAATATATAACATTTAGCATAAATAGGATGTTTTACCTATTGTTTAGTAACTTGGTCTTCAACAATATATCGTAGACAGCATTCTTTTGTCAAGTAATAGATGAGTGGCTGCGGAGTTGTATTTTATGCATGTCATATGAAATGTACTTTTTTCTTGGAATATGTAAGTTGTTTCTGTTTTTTCTACTATAAACAGATTGTGGTGAACATCTTTACATGTTTGTCCGATTCCTAAAGAGGAGTTGCAGGGTCACAGGGTGTTATTTTAAAATATTGATAATGTAATACTAGATTGCAACATTTATCTCCATACTCTATAAACGTACCCTGCAGTGTTTTTGTTGTTGCTTATACCTGTTTAAATCTTTTTTTTGAGTCAGAGTCTCACTTTGTTGCCTAGGCTAGAGTGAGTGCCGTGGCGTCAGCCTAGCTCACAGCAACCTCAAACTCCTGGCTTAAGCAATCCTCCTGCCTCAGCCTCCCAAGTAGCTGGGACTACAGGCATGCGCCACCATGCCTGGCTAATTTTTTCTATATATATTAGTTGGCCAAGAGATGGGGTCTCGCTCTTGCTCAGGCTGGTTTCCTACCTCGAGCAATCCTCCCGCCTCGGCCTCCCAGAGAGCTAAGATTACAGGCGTGAGCCACCGCGCCCGGTTAAATCTTTTTTTTTCTTACTACCTCTTTTCATGACTGTTTGTATACCTAGCTGTTGTTTCTGCTTTTACTTTCTGATTTGCATCTCTAATATTTTCTATAAGTTTTAATCACTCTAGGTATTATGCAGATTTTTTTTTTTTTGGAGACAGAGTCTCACTCTGTTACTCAGGCTAGAGTGCCCTGGTGTCAGCCTAGCATACAGCAACCTCACACTCCTGAGCTCAAGCAATCCTCCTGCCTCAGCCTCCCATAGTGCTAGGATTACAGGCGTGAGCAATTACACCCAGCTCTGCCTCTCTAGTAATTTACTGTGGAATCGTTCACTTCTAGGAGAAAGAAATAGAAATGAGGACCCTGCATAAATTAGCAGCAAAAGCTAAAAATGGGTGTCTGATTTAGACTCCATTTACTAGTTCTGTCTTTATACTAAATGTGAAAATGTGATTTGAATAGATTAGTCTAGGTACCCTTTCTTCCTCTTTCT